CACTTTGGTACAAAATATAGTCTACTGAGATAATCAAACTTTTGTCTGACGTTATCTAATATAATTTCGAATTACTATGTATAAAATAGTCTCTTGTGTTTAAAAGAGTTGCTTTGTGCAAGTTTGTACTTCACTGAATAAAGTAAAAGGAAGGCCCCCTATGTTCTTTATCGTGGCCTTCGATCAATATTTCATTAAAAATTTCACTCCACGTTTATATTAAGTACGAAGCTTAGTTATTCATGTTTTTAATTGATAGTAATTTCCCTCGTTTGAATTATATGACAGTCGTTTTATGATTACATGGCCTGATGTATAGTATAAAGATCAAAGATTTTGCTTGATTTTCATTATGTATTAACGGATAACGGGTTTAGGTATTTCATGTATATTTAAACAAAGAGTGCAGGTTAACGTTTTTATACAGGCGTATCTCTGAATATTAAAAAAAGTTTGCTCAAATATTGGAGAAAAAAATATTTCAGTTTTTCACTAGGATTTCATAAAATTGAGAATGGAAATGGGGAATGTGTCAAAGAGACAACAACCCGACCATAGAGCAGACAACAGCCGAAGGCCACCAATGGGTCTTCAATGCAGCGAGAAACTCCCGCACCCGGAGGCGTCCTTCAGCTGGCCCCTAAACAAATATGTATACTAGTTCAGTGATAATGGACGTCATACTAAACTCCAAATTATACACAAGAAACTAAAATTAAAAAAAATCCAAGACTAACAAAGGCCAGAGGCTCCTTCATACATGTATCAAGGAAAAATTGTACATGTCATTTTCAAATGATTCCAAAAAGGTATTGGCAATTGCCAAATAAACGGATCACCGATGTAATAAATGGATCATAATTATAAATTTAATACAAAACAGAAAACAATAAACTTGCGGAAAAGATGGTATATTGCAAACAAAAGGTGCAAAGGTTTTTGTACACCATATCCGGATTTCGACAATTAATGTCTCTTCAGTGATGTTAGGAATCGAAACGGTATTTGGAAAGCCATACAATTTACCTCAATTTAGGATAGACTCTTGAATTTTGAGGAGTCAAAATATGATGAACGGATCATATAAACCCGAATGCAAATATAATACAAGCCCAAACGAAAAAATATCGACAAGTCTAAATTGAAAACAACGTTCAAACCTATGATTGCGTTGGATGAAAACCGCAATTTTTATACGTGTGCATGTAAAACAAATTTCTTGTTAGAGGGGTCTAAATACAGCACAAACAACATTTTCAAAAAGACCAAAGAAGTGAAAAAGTATATTTTAACAAAACGCATTTGACTAACAGGTCGAACAACGGATGTTCTTAAACCCTGCTGACTGCCATTGGCGATTGCCAAATAAATTGATCACCAGATGTAACAAAATGGATCTTAATATTAATGTAATACAAAACAGAAAACAATAAACTTGCAGAAAAGATGGTATACCACAAACATGAGGTGCAAAAATTTGTATATATATATATATGGCCTTCCAAATACCGAAAAAGTGAAAAAGTATATTTTAACAAAACGCATTTGACTAACAGGTCGAACAACAAATGTTCTTAAACCCTGCTGACTGCCGTTGGCGATTGCCAAATAAACGGATCACCGATGTAAGAAATGGATCTTAATTATAAATTTAATACTAAACAGAAAACATAAATATATATATATATACAAGTCTTAATTGAAAACGACGTTCAAACCTATGATTGCGTTGGATAAAAACCGCAATTTTTATACGTGTGCATGCAAAACAAATTTTTTGGTAGAGGGGTCTAAATACAGCACAAACAACATTTTCCAAAAGACCAAAAAAGTGAAAAAGTATATTTTAACAAAACGCATTCGACTAACAGGTCGAACAACTGATGTTCTTAAACCCTGCTGACTGCCATTGGCGATTGCCAAATAAACGGATCACAAGATGTGACAAAATGGAACTTTAAAAATTAATGATCTAATACCAAACAGAAAATAATAAACTTGCGGAAAAGATGGTATACCGCAAACAAAAGGTGAAAAATTAGTACACCATATCCGGATTTCGACAATTAATGTCTCTTCAGTGATGTTAGGGATCGAAACAGTATTTGGAAGGCAATACAATTTACCTCAATTTAGGATAGACTCTTGAATTTTAAAGAGTCGAAATAGGATGAACGGATCATATAAACCCGAAGGAAAATATAATACAAGCCCAAACGAAAAATATAAACAAGTCTAAATTGAAAACGACGTTCAAACCTATGATTGCGTTGGATAAAAACCGCAATTTTTATACGTGTGCATGCAAAACAATTTTTTTGGTAGAGGGGTCTAAATACAGCACAAACAACATTTTCCAAAAGACCAAAAAAGTGAAAAAGTATATTTTAACTTAAACATCTGCTGACTGCCATTGGCGATTGCCAAATAAACGGATCACAAGATGTAACAAAATGGATCTTTAAAAATTAATGATCTAATACCAAACAGAAAATAATAAACTTGCGGAAAAGATGGTATACCGCAAACAAAAGGTGAAAAATTAGTACACCATATCCGGATTTCGACAATTAATGTCTCTTCAGTGATGTTAGGGATCGAAACAGTATTTGGAAGGCAATAAAATTTACCTCAATTTAGGATAGACTCTTGAATTTTAAAGAGTCGAAATAGGATGAACGGATCATATAAACCCGAAGGAAAATATAATACAAGCCCAAACGAAAAATATAAACAAGTCTAAATTGAAAACGACGTTCAAACCTATGATTGCGTTGGATAAAAACCGCAATTTTTATACGTGTGCATTCAAAACAAATTTTTTGGTAGAGGGGTCTAAATACAGCACAAACAACATTTATATATATATATATATATATATCCGTTTTCTACAGGTTGCTAATCCGGCACGTGGCAGGTGCGTTTGAATCCAATCTTTATTGACTAGGATTGGTTTTTTTTCCTAAGGTCGATGGTTTTCTCCGGGCACTCCGGCTTCCTCCACCAACAAAAACTGAACGCCACGAAATAGCACAATAGTGCTGGAAGTGGCTTTAAACACCAATCAATCAATAAATCAATACATGTTGCTATATCGAAGCTATTTTTTTTAAATGTAATATTAAAAATTTGTATTTAACAATGAAAATTTCATTATGGCAACACTTTTATACTCACCCAAACTTTCTTTCTGACTTGCACTGATCATCAAATAAAAGTAATCGGACAGGACAAGCAAATAAATCAATAGGGCAATTATAATTGTTTCGATTTGTCTAAAATGTAATCTTTTTTAACATAACTTGTTTATTATATATTATCAGTGACCCCTGTGGATAGTAAACAAGGAATTGACAGTAAATAATAAGTACATGCCATTTCTAGTATATTTGCGTTCAAATATCACAGAAAAACGCGAAAATAATTGAAATTAAAAGAATAAAAATACACATAACGGATTTTTGAAAAAAAGGGGGAGGGTTAAAAAAAAATGTCCTCTCCAATACTACCTATATAAGGAAAAAAACCCTCCTTTTCTACAGGTTGCTCGAAAAGAACATGAAGGGAAAAAAAGGAGGGTTTTTTTTCCTTAATGTTCTTTTTTGGATGGGTTTTCATTTGTTTATAGTCAAACAGACTTATGCACGCACAAGGGATATAGTTACAATACTGTTATCAAGTAATTAAAGATAGCATTTTTGGTATTAATATTGATTCACTCAAAGGGTCTTTGCATCGGAAATAAACACATTTATTCTAAATCCAGTTGTTGGCATGATACGGGTTATGTTCTTCTCGTATAATTTATGATGGCATGATACTAAACCCCTAACGGGAGGAATTGTGAAGTCTGGAGCTCGAATGTCAGTAACTGCTAGTAGTCATTTGCTAATTTATGTTGATAATTGTCATTTTGCTTAGTTTCTTCTGTTACTTATTCTAACATCGGACTCGGACTTCTTTTATACTGAAGTTAACTGTGCGTATTGCTGTGTGTTTGTTTATTCCACATTGGCTAGAGGTATAGGGGAGGGTTAAGATCTCACGAAATATGTTTAACCCCGCCGCATTTTTGCCTTTGGTAGTCTTTTGTTTGATTTTTAATTTTGTTTCATTTATATGCAATCTAACAAAAATATACACCTTATGGAGATAACGAAATCAAAGGTCTATATTTTAATAAGTTGGATTTATATGTTTCAGAGTTTAGTGTGGCGTCCATTTCGCTGAACTAGTATACATTATTGTTTAGGGGGCAGCTTAGCCCTCCTCCGAGTGCATTGAAGACCCATTGGTGGCCCTGTGCTGTTTTCTGCTCTTTGGTCGGGTTGTTGTCTCTTTTCCATTCTCGATTCTATTAAATATTTCGACTTATTTCTACTTATATATTAAATGTGCTCTTACTCGCACTCAGCACATATAAAATAAAAAAACAAGTTGAAATATTAAAGAATATTCTCAAAACAAACCAAACACCAAATTAGACAAAAGAAAAAAGAAGGGGTCCATGCCCCAAGCGCCTGTGGACAAAACATGTGGTTGTCATAAATAATTTGTTTTGCAAAGGATGCAAATATAAAAAAAAATCAACTCTGGAACCTACAGAAGTCATAAGAATTCCATAAATTGGACATGCAATATAGTCCGACTGCGGTGTAATGCATTTTGTTTGTGTCATCTCTGCTTACATCAGACACATCTAATCAGTATTTTGTATGTAGATAATAAAGTTTAAGTTATCAAAAGTTTATCAATATGGTATTTTACAGGTACATACGTATTAAAATTTAAAAGGGTCCATTAGGGTAGATATACAAGAAATGATGATTTTTGTGAATACTGCAAAGAAAAAAAAACTAAATTATCATATATATGTGGATTTCATTCATTTTTATATTCATTTACAAAAACAATAAGCGAAAGAAAATGAAAGTTTCGTACTTTAAACATACCCCTCTACAACTAAATGGCCACTGATCATGTGACAAGATACTTGTGATAAATTTGAGCTGCAGAACGTCGGTTACCAGCACTAAACGTAGGTCCAGGAACAAAATGAAGGTCTTTGTATACATTGCAGTTTTGGTTGGGTTAGTTTATGGCCAATGCGATCCAGCTGCAAACTGTAGTCCGCCAGACTGTCGATGTTTCAAAGATAACACTACTCCAGGAGGATTAAAGCCAGATGAAATCCCTCAGATGGTGGTCATGACCATGGATTATTCCCTGAATTCTGAATTCGCCGAGTTGTACGACCAATTGTTCACGGTCACCAATCCAAATGACTGTCCCACTTTAGGTACCTTTTATCTCCAAGATATGAATACAGACTATGATGTTGTGAAGGCTTATTATGACAGGGGATTTGAAATAGGTGTCAGTTCTGTCGATGGAACCATTCCTAAAGACGAAACGGGATGGGTTGACTTGATCAGAAGTAAGTACTATTGTTTTGTATAGTTTTATTTTGTGTTGTCCTGTCGCGGTTTTTTGAGGGATTGTCTTGTAACAGAAGAACATGGTTTTCTTTCAGATTTACATTTGTATCAACAGAAATCTAACCTTCACGAATTGACACTGCCCCTGGTCCAATAAGCCACAGATTTATTTCACCATTGACATAAATCAACCCTTCCGATAATTTGACGTTGCAATAGTTGGTCTTGATAGGAAATACGACATTGACATTAATTGAAACGTGAGAACCTTGTATGGTCGTTTTCTGGATTGCTAGACAGAATAACAAAACTGAAATTACAATGTATCTAATACGCAGTTATTTAAAAAAAAAAGATTGGAGCCAGTGTACGAGTTTCTTAAGTTACAGAATATCGACCACCATTAATACTCTCAGGGGCGGGTCCAGGTAAGGGCGTAATGGGCGTACGCCCCCCCCCCCCCTTTTCAAAAAAAAAAAAAAAAAAAAAACTATCGTACTATCGTTATCTGCTTATATTGTATTGAATATGGCAATTTATCATACTCATTAATTAAACACATACTCTGATTTCTTTTATACTGATTCCCCCATCCGATAGGTGACTTGGACACCTTTTTTAAACAACCAAAGCGGTAAGTAAATCTATACATGAAATGGTTGTTTGTGTGACACTTCCCCAATGGCCATTCTACATCTACCCGGGGGATACTCGCTACATATATGATACCGGGTATGTTCCGACAAACGGGGTTGCATTTTCAGCTAAATTGTCTGAAATGGGATTAGGTTTTTTTCGCCTTGCATTGGAAGGGGTCAGATTTGACTATCTAGAACGGGGTATCATAATTATAAATACAATGTTACACTATTGTTTCAGATAAGGGTGAATGTTTGGTACCATTAAAACGTTTAAACCCGCTGCAACTGTTTGCACCTGTCCTAAGTCAGGAATCTGATGTTCAGTAGTTGTCGTTTGTTGATGTGGTTCATAAGTGTTTCTCGTTTCTTATATAGATTAGACCGTTGGTTTTCCCATTTGAATGGTTTTACACTAGTAATTTTTGGGGCCCTTTATAGCTTGCTGTTCGGTGTGAGCCAAGGCTCCGTGTTGAAGACCGTACTTTGACCTATAATGGTTTACTTTTATAAATTGTGACTTGGATGGAGAGTTGTCTCATTGGCACTCATACCACGTCTTTTTATATCTACTAAATTGAAAACAACGTTCAAACCTATGATTGCGTTGGATAAAAACCGCAATCTGTATACGTGTACATGCAAAACAAATTTCTTGGTAAAGGGGTCTAAATACAGCACAAACAACATTTTCCAAAAGACCAAAACAGTGAAAAGGTATATTTTAACAAAACGGGTATATCAAAATTTCAGAAAAAGGTATCGTTAAAGATTTATTTTTCATTTTTCATGCCCATTTCATATAACCTTTTAACTGAAGGCAGACTATTTTCACCAATTTGTCTATCATGGAATACTTCATAATTTGATGCTAAATTGTTGAAATCCAGGAGCTTCTGACCTTCCCCGTGGACCCTATTCCAGGGCAACCGGAATTACGCCTCCCGTTCATAAAATCCTGGCCTAGGACTATTGAAATGTAAAGTAACGCCCTATACCCTAGAATTTGGAATTTCTCGTTATTGGTCTACTGCTGTTAAGATCCATCCAATCATTTTAATATACCATGCATAGACAATTAATGGAGAGAATTCGGCATAAAAAATATCAAACCCTGACACTTTAACTATAAAATATACATGCTCCAAGTCAGGAACCGTTACATTAGTGCATTTCACATTTATTTTATGTTTTTTAGCCAAAAAAAGGTCAAAAAAAATGTCCACAAAAATTTTCGCCTCGCTCCGCTCGGCAAAAGGTTGCATTCTACGCCTCCTCTTTCAAATATCCTGGAAACGCCCCTGACTCTGATGCAGATGCTTTTGGTGAATTTCTTATTTGAAGTTCATTGTCGAAGGAACAAAGATAGACAAAAATTCCATGTTATTAACAGATACATAAGCTTGCCGTTGAGTTATATAAATCCCACCAAAACTGGGGCTGAGTTCCGGATGGGAATGTGGACTTAGCCTGAGTGACTTCCTTGCGGAAATGTTGACGATGAAAGGTTTGACAATGGACGTATTATGTACACACAGCATTTTATAATACTTCCGTGGTCAATGAATGGTTTTTAACAATATAGCGAGAAATAGCATTGATCAATGAGCACAAAATGGAAAATACTATTAGAATAGTTGATTTTCAGCATTTCTATTGTTGTTGTTTCATTTGCAACAAACTTATAGACTATTGTTTCAATGGTTATTTAAATGTCATGCTTTTTTATTTGCAATTAATAGGCGTAAAAACTAAAATAACTGGTGCTGGTATTAATGGTGATGATGTGCGTGGATACAGACCTCCACAGTTAAATTTTGGAGGAACTGAAGAATTTATTGGTAAATTTCATATTTTGAATACATGCATTTTCTCAATTTTCAATACCACAGCACTTAAAAAAAACCTTGAGTGTTTTCTTAGTTTCAATTCTATTTTAATGTTTATTTCTAATCTAGGCTTAATGAACAAGAAATACTATATCATGCAGTAAAACACATTTTGTATAGGACTCCTCGTATAGGATACATTATAAAGTTTATTTGTGTTAGTCGATTTTATTCTTAAAATTCATATCACACATAATTAGACCCCCTAATTTTTTTTATACCCGCGCCGCAGCGGAGGGGGCATAGAGTGTTACCCTTGTCTGTCTGTATGTCCGTAAGTACGTCCCGAAATTGGTTTCCGTTTCCTAACTTTGGTTTGCCTCAACCAAATGTTATGAAACTTATACACAATGCTTATTATTACAAAACACATATCAAGTTTGAATTTGGGTGGCGTCACTTTTACCGTTCTAGCGTTATGCCCTTTTACAAATGGAAAATTAGTTTGCCTCAACCAAATGTTATGAAACTTATACACAATGTCAATTTGAATGCTAATTATCACAAAACACTGATCAACTTTGAATTTGGGTGGCATAAATTTTACAGTTCTTTTGTTATGTCCCTTTATAATGTTATATACAAGCTGGGGTATCATCTGTGTCCCATGGACACATTCTCCATGTATTTGAGAATAACAATAACCATTACATTCTACCGCCATCTTAACTGTGAATTTTAGGTATAGGTGACAATGGCTTGGTCTACGATGCTGGGTGTGTGACGTCAGAGTACGACACGGCAAACACCTTCAAGTGGCCATACACATACGACTTTCCAGACGGAGCAAAATGTAATGGTCAGAGTGCACCAGTTGATAAAGAATTCAAGGGTAATTATAGAGATAGTTACTTTTTGATGTATAAATACATTTGTAGGCATCTGGAAATTTGAAATTGGATTAATAAGTAAAAAATGAAAGGTTATTTTCATTCTTCAAATTTTTAAACATGCTGATATATGAGATAAAACATGTAGTACCTTTTTCAACTTTTAGTTAATATACTCATAGGCTGAAATATATAGCTCTGAGCGCATATTTTCAATTCGAGTTTAGCGCCTATACTTTTGTGTGTTGATACATGACAAAATCTAAGGTACTAGTAATTACAACCCTTTCATGAAACGGTTTGGACCAGTATTTGGGATCTTTTTTTATTTTCATTCCACCGCATTTTAATACATATTAGGCTTTGTAAATGACTTGATGGTCCTTGGTTTAGGTTTATTCAGAAAAGCGTTTCGATTTCAACCAAGTCGGTGTGTTTAATTATCACATAGTATGCTATTTGAAGCTCTCGTACAGTAGTTTGTTCAGATAGGCCTATCCGAGAAATTATCTCCATCTGCCAGCAAGACAGTTTAAAGATATTTGGAATATTTATTTAAGAATTAAATGCTTCTTTTTGTAAATTTATTGGAGTGTAAAAGCGCTTCATTCTAAAAATGTGCGCACGGTCAACGCTTTTATAACCCTATAAAATTACTAAAAGAAGCATTCAATACTTATATAATTACATTTTTTTGCTAGGATCATGAAAACACGATTTCTATCAAGTTTTTCTTTTATTTACCTGTGCACTTTATTGTGGAATCTCGTGTCATCATGAATGTTACATTTCATATTGAAATGAAGGAATTTCAGAATGACGCGAGATTGCTGTTAGCCAATCAAAATAACGTATTATAATGAAATATACATATAATGTAATTATTGGTATATGAATAATAATTATTTATTTTTTACAGGTAAATGGGAGCTTATCATCCCAGATTTCAGGTTCTCGAATGACACAAAATGTGAAGTTCCACAAGGGTGCACAAATGTTGAAACGAAGACGGATGCTTTCAATATATTATATGATAAGTAAGTATTAGTAAGTAAGAACGAAGGGACGATTTCAACTTCACCACTAGGAACTCAAGCTATGAACTTTCTTGAATAATGCCAATTGTATTTTAACTTTTCGCTACTTAGCTGCAAATATAACATTTTTAATATTATAATGAACAGCAACTTTATGGATAAATTAGCAGATGTGGAATGATTCCCAATGAGACCGTTGAAATATCCATTAGAGACCAAATTACGTAGAGCAACTTTAAGTCACCTTCTGGCCTTTACATAATACTGTACATCTTCGAGGGCAATGGGTTACGATCCGGCCCCCTCATCTTCACCTTTGGCAGATGAAATGAAGAGAAGGGACAATGCATAATATACATTTTTAAGTTACCGACTGTGTTTTCCAATCCTCTTTGACTTTAGCAATGACGTATTGCAGCTATATCCTGGTATTAAGGCAGATAACTATGGATAAAAAAAGTGATCGTTTCACTTTGTGGCATTGTAGAAAACAATTGATAATGGATCAATTAGTGAGAAAATGGCCAAATCGTCAGTCAACTTTAAATGAGGATTTTTACCCATTTTTGCGTTTTAGGCAAACACGATACCGGTAGTAGTTAAAGAAACTTTAGATAGCAAACATGATCAGCACGACAAGATCTACAAATAAGTCACATAGTTGAAAGTGTCAGTTCATTTCTTATAGGAGTTATTGTCCTTCAATTATGATTTTTTTTAAACCTATTTGTTTGCCTTTTTGGCAAAAACTATAGTAGATAGGGACGATTAACGACAAAAGTGACCAGCAAAAAAGAGACGGTTTTAGTCATGAATTATATTCTAGTCTAAAATATTAAAGAGTTGCCATTGTTGAAGATGCACATATATTCAGGTGAGCGACACAGGCTTTTTATGGCCTCTTATTCACAGCCACTTGTCTCTGAACAAAATTTACCTATATACATTAAAGTATATAAATATAAGTGGTATGAGTGCCAATGAGGCAACTCTCCATATAACTATTTTTTTCAGAGACAAGTGCCTGTGCTCTTGTTTAATGATGAAATCCATCTTTCGTATTCGCATTTGTATTATTTTATTCATGCAATGTTATTGGACCTTGAGTACGAAAATTTGAAGCAGTATAATAAGTCTTAGTGCAACCACATTTACTTTGATATTGTATATTATCAGCTTTATTGCTCACTACGAGGGTAGCCGAACACCATATGTCGTCATCATTGATGCTGCTTGGATGAAGACAGATTTTAAACGAGAAGGAACTGTTGAATTCATGGACTACGTAAGAGCAGGTTTCCCTGTAAGTAGAAGTCGGCATTGGGATTTATTAGACTAAAATCTATCGACTTAGACAATTAAAATTACTATTATTATTATTTTATAAAGTTTGTTGTCCTTAAATTTATATTTATACGTTTTAGAACTACTTTTCATTATGCAACATAATATTTACTGGATCATTCTTTTACTTGAAATAATAGGAAAAATAACAACTAACATATCATAATTAGAGTTTTGATTTGGAATATTTATATATGATCTCTTTATATTTAAAAGATAACACTTTGTGGATTATGTAAAAACTACAAAAAAGTTTACAACATGTTAAAAAGTGTCGGAGTGAAAACATTTAAAGATTTTTAGCTATAAATTAGATTAAGATTTGTTTAATTTAAAATGCATCTTGCTATCAAACATATATACAATTAAAGCGACAACCAAATAATTGACAATGAATTGTTTAATTTCGGTTATCACCTTGAGTAGGAAATTTGGGGGTTGTTAATGGGACTATAATACTAAATATTGTCACCATCAGCAGATGAATTCGTGAGTGTTTTAAAGGAAACCGTAGTATTGTCAACGTCATGTGGTCGTTATTATGACCAATTATAAACACTCTTTGATGGTGAAGTTTAAGAAATAGAGAATATTTATCATACATTTTTACTTGTTTTATTGCAGGACACATGGGTTATAACTGCGTGGCAGTCACTCCAATGGGTACAAAATCCAACTCCAACTGCTAACATTTCATCATTCGCACCATGGTCATGTTGAAAGACATTATACCTTCAATATAACATTGATTTATTGATTATTACTAAACTATGAATTAAAAAAAGAATAAAGGAAATATTCTGGTCTGTTATGCTGAGTTTACATTTAATGTACATTGGCAGAGCTTACATCGTTAAAATGAAATGTTTAAAGAATGGCACTCATCTTAACATTTTTATTTACAAGAAATTGACGAATTAATTAACCCAAGTCTGATCCGTCAACAGATATGAAAAGAACACACTTTCAAAGTGCTGGTCAGTGTATACAGGTCATTGGGCAGTCAGTATATCAGCAGAATACAGAAAAAGAGTCAACAAGACACTATACGCAATAGAACACAAAAATCAAATGAAAAAAAGAACACGAAAATACAAAATGATTAGTGGGGTTTCATGATTTCGAAAATGGGTGTTCTTTTACATCACCGGTCAGTGGTGGCTTAGGGTGGGTGTTGATGACACATCCAGAATGTTTTGAGTCAAGATAATAAAAAGGGTGTAAAACATATTTGCTTCTTCATGATTGATTAATATTGCAATATTAATATTTGAGAAAAATGAGACGGAGATACCAAGGGGCACTACAAAATATATCAATTAATAAGTCGAAGAAAAACAGACGATTCCATGGCCAAAAAGAAAACAAGTCTACGAAACTCTTAAAAACACGAAACGCACCAAAAACAGGTAACAGGTCCTGCACCACTAGTTGCATCAGTCGTGTTGCTCGTGGCAAGTCATTTAAACACTTCGCTGAAAAGTAACATTCGGTAAGTATCGATTATCCGGTTGTCTGCATATTGATTTTGTAAAATGTCAGCTACGAGTCCAAATATGAAGCTCTTTGTCGAGTGAGCGCAGCGAACGAGTTCAGAAAGGATTCATATTGTGTCGAGTAGCTGATTTTTTTCAATATCAATATGCAAACAACCAGATAATCGATTTATTGGGTTGTATTTGCGTATTTTGCATGATAGAAACAAGTGCTTTCTTTGTTTTCACTGTCCATCTTCTTGTTGGGTGTTCAAATAGATGTTTCATTTGTAGAATATGTCAACATCGATCTACTCAGTATCACATTTGCTCAGATACGTAGTTCTATTTTTTTTCTAAGAACGACTCGTGGTTTTTCCTTTCCCTAAAGAATTCAAAAACATGTTTCAAAATTGTGTTACAACTGTTTTCATTTGATGGCACATATTCCCTGTCACAAAGGTTTATTTAGATAAAATATGCAATCATCAATTAAGTTATCATTTTGATAAAATATATTTATATATTGGTCAGATTATATAATTCCCTACTTTATCAATTATTATCGTGGTATGAATTAGAAGATTTGTGGTATGTAAGGTTATCCGTCCATATCTATATAGGTAAATCTGCTCGGAAGTATATCTGCAGTTATAAGAGTATACGAATGCCTGATTTCAGAACTTTGATATAAAAATTCGTTTGCCAATGAGAAAACTGCTAAGGATCAACCAGAGTTCAAATGACGAAGATAAAAGCAATGATATATAGGTCACCGTACCATTTAATTATTGCCACTCTTTGATACAGTTATACCTAAGCTTTAGTTCAATTTTCTGAATTGATTTTTATTTTACGTTTTTGTTATTTCACTGATTTAAGAATAAATAAATGTGGATAGTGTCCACATGTGGACACAGATCATCACTCTGTCAAACTACCCCGGCAAAAAATGTTTGGACTCGATTGTATCTAATATCCGGCACGGTGACGGAACATCAATAGATAGAGAAAAGGTAGTTTTCTGTTTATTTATTTGTTATTGTTATGATATCGAAGAATATTTATACATATATATATAACTATTTTCTATCGTGAGATGTAATATTTTCTTCAACCGTTCTAGATTAACGGAGAAATAAGTAAAAATGCATGTCAAAATGACGAATTGAGTGAACCTTGCCTCGAATTTGTTTAATTTCTCCTTAAATTGTTCACATTATACGGAAAGAAAGGTACGGAAAGAAAGATATTGACATGGAGATTGCAAAACTAGTCACTTTGAGCACATCAATACTTGTATTTCTGCGTATGGAACGAAAGAAATGGGTCATGTCAAAATGGAAGCACCCGGTTTTGTCCTAGATTTCACAAGGCAGAACCCGGTTTTGTCAAAGAAAAAAAAGGCATAATCGCATAACATAATTGACCTTCAGCAATTAAAAGGAGTTTGGTGGCTGGTTGGAAAACGATTTCTTACAGAGGACAACTTATTATTTATTTGAATCTGTAAACACTTGAATTCCTACTTTATTGGAACAGAAATAGTTATAATTTTGCTTTGCATTTAAAACAAATACTTTAACTGCGAAATAGATAGAAATGAAGGGTAAACCGCAAATTGAAGTTTAAGCTCTTTATATGTTTTTTTTATATGAATGTAAATTTTAGTGTTTAAACTTAAAATTAGAGTTTATGGTCTTAAAAATTGAAGAACGCACATTTGATATGTGATTTTCTTGCACAACTGGTTATCTTATAAGTAATCCAATCTACCTAGGGGTGTAATATTTCCTATGATCGTTTAAAATAAATCTTCTTAAGGCTACATGTTCAGTATATGTCATGATAATCAGACAAATGTCTATATGCTTGCAGAATCGCCATAGAAATGAATGTTTATGGCGAGAAAAGGATTACAATAAGCATGCATTAAAAATCAAATCCATCTATCCCTAATTGTAACTATAATACTAAGTATAAATTAGTATAATAGTCTCAGTCCATCGAGAAAATGCAATAATGATTATTTTAGTTGTATAAATAAACGGTTCTGTTATCTCTCCATTGTGGTATGATTATCGTACATTGACGGTGGTCAATATATTATTGACAATATATATATAGGGACGGATTAAGGTTTTTTCAAAGTGGGCGTAATTCAAACAGCTTACATACCGCAGAGCGTAGCGAAGCGAACAATGTTTTGGACGAATTAAGCTAAAAAAATTGTAAAAAAAAAGATATAATATTTTTTGGACCATCAAAGGTGGGGGTGGGGGCGTGTGACCTATACGCCGCCTGGATTCGCCACTGATGTTATATAACTAAATCGTATACCAACTTAAAATTTGATAAGAAATAAGAAAGCAGGGACACCCGCGAAATTGGATGTATGCGAGTAGGATTACCATGTTTATCCTAAAAGTTCACATTGATATTTTGGAATTGTCGGAATGCTAGACCAAGGGATGCAAATTCGTGGCGGCTTGAACTATTTGTATGAAGCTTTATATTTCAGAAGTTAGAAGGCCTGACTGCAACATACCTCGCACACAGATCTTTTTATGTAACGATGTTTCTATCTGTCATATGTCCATTGCCCTTGACCTCATTTTCATGGTTCAGCGAATTCCTAACAAAATGAATAGCTGATAATGGTTGATTTCTATGATCAAGGTTAACATTTCGTATTCAAGTCCGTATCTCTAATACCATAAGTAATAGGTCAACTATATTTGCTCGTATGGCGCATATGACTATTTAAGTGACCTTGAACTTATTTTCTTGATTAATTGGTAAATGTTCAGTTTTTGGTGCTTTTAATGATTGTAATGTGTTCATGTCCGTCTGGCAGGTTTCATCAGACCTTGACTTTTTTTATGGTTCCATGAACAATGTTAATTTTATGAGATACTTTTATGAAATTATTTATCTTACAGACCTTAAAAAAAAATTCGATAACGATCATTCCAGCAGTCGCGACATGTCAGTGCGTACAGTCACTCTTGTATAAATAATACGTAGTATTTATTTTAAAAAAAAACGCAACTGAAGTTATTTTGCCATGTTTGATTAGTTTATCTCGTTCGTGTAAGCCTTAATTATGAATTGTTAGACTTTTTTTTTAATTCAAGAACGGTGCAATCTTGTTTGGAATTCTTGGTTGTTTTTAGCTCACCTGACCCCAAGGGAAAAGTTAGCTTTTTCATCACTTGGCCCCCGTCGTCCGTCGTCTTCCGTTAATGTTTTACATAATCTTCTCTTCTGAAATTACTGGGCTGCAATACATTGGGCCATTCCAGTTAATATCTGACAGGTGGGGGTGGATGAGGAGATTTATTTTATATGTATCAGAAAATACATGTTGAGAAACCGACCTATCAGAATTTAAAAACCAAGACCTGTCAGATGAAGAGTTTCAGCTCATAATGGGTGGATGGGCTATCATAGGAAAACATTACCTATCAGAAATTTTTCATGTTATTGATATACCCATCAGTATTTTTAATGCAATTGACATACTCATCAGAATTTTTCTAACACTTCAACCTGTCAGAAGATACCTTCCACCCCTTTTAAACTTTCATTAAGTGCTATGTCTCTGGGTATATTCTCTTTATGAGGCTAAAATGTATGAACGTCTTTTCTTGATGTACGGAATTTTAACATATTTAATCGCGGCAGTGGCGGATCCCGGGGGGGGGGGGGGGGGGGGGGGGTCCGGGGGTTGGATACCCCCCTTTTTTTGGCCGATCGATGCATTTGAATGGGGACATATAGTTCCCCCCCCCCCCCCCCTTTTCTCCTGGGTTGGGAACCCTCCTTTTTAAAATGGCTGGATCCGCCCCTGCGCGGTATCTATGATGAGGTTATTAAGAACTTGGCATACATACAGTATAAACACCTGCCTTTTATTTTGACCACTAAATGTCTTTAGGGTAACTGTCGTATTAACGTTTACCCAAAATCTTCATTTATTCATATATAAGACTTAAGACTTCTATTGAACGGAGTTTTACTGTGCGTATTGTTGTGTGTTTGTTTTTTTCTACATTGGCTAGAGGTATAGGGGGAGGGTTGAGATCTCATGTTTAACCCCGCCGCATTTTTGCGCCTGTCCCAAGTCAGGAGCCTCTGGCTATGGTTAGTCTTGTATGATTTTTAATTTTAGTTTCTTGTGTATATTTCAGAGTTTAGTATTACGCCCATTATCACTTAACTAGTATACATTTTTGTTTAGGGGCCAGCTGAAGCACGCCTCCGGGTGCGGAAGTTTCTCGCTGCATTGAAGACCCATTGGTGGTCTTCGGCTGTTGTCTGCTCTTTGGTCGGG